AAGACGGCCTTGCAAATAGTCGAGTCTGGGCCAGACACTCCAGTGATTGATATAATGAGCTTCTATCCAGGCCGTTTGGTTACGTTAATAGCTAGCAACCATGTTCCCGGGCCAGACCCCGGTTCCATTAAGTCCCAACAGGTTGGTAAGGGCCAATTGTACATGTATAGTTAAACATCTAGTACACATACCGGACTTTTGAAGCATTTTGGGCATTTGAGATCGTCCTTGACACAAGCAAACTAAAAAACCCATCTTATTTGTGTTTGTTTGACATAATTTTAAAGAGCAGATAAAGTCTTATGTGAAGGTTGCACGTGTCCCGATAATAACAATATAGGACACACGTTACTAACCCACGTCACAGCAACGATTAGATATGAGTAGACTTGGTCTGGATTCGGTGAGATTTTATCGGCAATCAGTATAGGATAGAGAAAAGCTCCAGGTGCCAACTTGATCCTTTTCTTTTGAAAAATACATAAAAGATATATATATATATATCATGCAATCAACAGTATTATTTACAACAAACATAATTGGATACATAATCATTAATTAGTTAAACCGATTAGCCGACAAATAATAATTATATGTACCGATTTAAAAAGGAATCAGATTTGGGGTCGCGAAGGAGAATAATATTAAGTAATAATTTTAATAGAAAGTATTAAAGCAATCGTCTTCAAATTTTTTAAATAAATGTCTTTAATTCTTTGCTCAAATAAATAGAAAAATAACTGTTCCTCTTCCACATTTTGAGCTATTCACACATGTTCAAAAACATATGCTAAATAACAGATATCTAACTTGTGAGGCCAAGTTATATTTACCGTTTTCATAAAGTGGCTTTAACAGTTTATAACATTGATAAGGATATCTCCATGCCTCCATTGTCAGAAGTTGACTGAAAACAAACAATGAATATCGACCGGTTTCACTCAGAACAGCCATATTTGAAGCATATTCATCAATACCCAAAACCCTTTCGAAATATAGCAAATGTACCTTTTCAATTGCGTCATAATAATTAATTCTCCACATTTCCGAACCATATAATAGATGTATTTTACAGTAAAACAATTATCAGTCTGATGAAAACATTATGTACGTGGTCATTATTGCTTTAGATGTTTGTTGCCTTACTTCCCGCGACCAATATAACTTTGATGGCCACAATAAACCCATGTATTTATACTAAATTACAGCGTTTAATCTGGATCTATATAACACCCAGTTTTCAGGTATAAATAGATTGATGTAATACCCACGTTTCTAAAAATAATAATGTTGTGCTTGTCTAAATTACCAGTGATACCCATTTACAAGAGGATTGCAGTACATCTACTTGTTTTAGTGTAACCAAAAAGAACAATACATGTCATCGATAATTAACAACATGATGTCTTCAATTTATTGTCACGCGACACTTCCGCAGTTACATTCTATTTTTATAGTACACGCAAGCTCGTTTATAACGAGAAAGGAGGTGAATAAAATGGTGAATAAAATGGGGCTGAGGACACAACCTTGTTACACTTGAGTGTAATACCAATACTTTTTTACACATGATTTAAAACCAAAATACATGTAGATACTTGTAAGGACATTATAAAGCTTACCATGACAGCCATTAAGTCCATAAACGCAAAAGGGGCTTGGATTTACATGGGTATAAACATAAATATCGTAGCGTAAAAATGTTATCGATTGTCGACAGCCCTAGACGTAAACTTGCTTGCGCTTCGGAATCGTTCGTTTATTTCTATTCATGTACCTAACCTCTTTTCAAGTGAGACCGCCTCCGTGGTCTAGTGGTATTGCGTCTGCCCGGAGAGCGGAAGTTCCGGGGTTCGAACCCCGGCCGCGTCATACCAAAAGACGTTAAAAGATGGTACTTGTTGTTACCCTGTCTGGCGCTCGTCATTAAGGGGCTAAGACAAGGACTGGTCGGCTATACTGTGTCTGAGTGGGGTATTATGTTCAGCTGCGACATGGGCCCTCAGTGAGCTAGCACTATAAATCGACATCAGTCCGGACTAGTACAAGCAGCCACACACACACACACACACACACACACGTGCATGCACGTTGTTATACAAGTGCAACAATCTTGGACGCGACGTTAAACTCCATTTCTCCTCACCTTTTCAAGTAACGGTTTTGCCAAGAACATGTAATAGAAATACCTCTGTAGTTGTTCGGGTCAGCCATTGCTCCAGATTTACACGAGGTAAAATGCCATACCTACATTCAAATGTGGAAAAACAGCAGTGTCCAGGATTTTATCAATGTATTGAGATTAGATATTTTTTCAGCTACAACTACAAAACAATATATTTTTTAAATTAAAACTATGAGCCTGAATAATCTTTTAAGAAAAACACCTTGCAATAATGTATCAAAAGGTCGGTCCCTAGTTTGCTTTCATAAAGTCAAAAGTATTAAAACCATGCTTGGTCACCTCCGTAACAGTATATAGTGCTATCGCTTATGACGTAATAGTAGGTTTTTCACCGCGATCACGAAACAGCGAAGGCCGGAGAAGACACTGGAAATATCAGTTTACACTTTTTTTTTGTAATTCCCGTCGAAAGCTGCCTCGGTTGACGATAGTTAGCTGTTCGAGGCTGACGCAAAGCATTATGTATATATGATAGGTCTTTGACGCAAGGAACGCCAGCGATACCTCGTGGTGCAGAAAGCTGCATGTTTGGAGGACAAATAGTGGTAGAAAGGCCCGAAGTCAATCCAAACTGGCTATCTGAATGCCGTTTCTGCGTTCATCTCGCAATTGATGAGCTGAAGTTAAAATTATAGGTATGGAACATAAACTTAGAAACTTCACACACGACAGTACTTTATTTCCACCCCTCATTAAAACCAATGAAACGACATCGCACAGTACCACTGTGTCCGCTAAGCCTATACAATCTGCTTGTGTAACCTCCATTAACGCCCTGGCAAGTCTAGATCGCCTGATCAGCACAAGGTCGCATCACGCGCTAGTCGAGTGTTGCATCAACGACAGCTATATTTTACTGTATTCAACGCTCATATATCATCGGGGAGGGGGCAATGTATCGGGTTGGGAGGGGGGTCGGGAGGGGTCTGCGGTCCTGTTTTCGCGTTGTGCAGAAATGCCAATTTGAAAGCTTGAGCTTTTCTAACAAACAAATCGATGAGAAAACTGGATTAAAGACTACTGGTTGCCATAACAACGAATTAAGCCTCGGACAAGTCGCGGTGACCTTGCCCAGTGTGAACCTGAAGGTTATAGAAGCAGATAAGGAACGCTGTATTATTAAGAATGAACCTTGTTCATCGCCCTGATAACACTATCACGTGTAACACCAGAGTAAAACAAAGCCCTTCAGATTGATTCAAATGTTCTACGGATCTTAAATAATATTTTGTGGTGTAAACATTGAATTATCGCTAATTGAGAAATTTATTTTCGATATATAGAATTGTACTGCACAAGCTCTATAGCCATTGTCAAACTTTGTTTTGAACGCGTTGAGTTATGGGAATAGTATAAAAGAAATGGAGTAGTGTCAGTTAGCCATACCACGGCTGCCTGAAACCACTTGGCTGGCAACTGCGACTGATGCTATTTCTGACCTTGTGTGAAAAATGTGCTTCTCGCCATGATAGCTCTTTCAACAAACCAGTCCAATCCAGTTCGGTCACAATAGACGCCATATTGCGCCTCTTGTTAACATAAACAACCCAATGGTATGCTGATGAAATAGACCGTTTATTAAATATAAATGTCAGTTAGTGTGAACTGTGATTGTTTTAATAAAATAACAGTGAACTTAAATATAAACATTCAACTCAGTATTTGTTAGGCTCCATTACCTTAAACAGAGTGACACACTGTAATAAACGGATGCATACAATAAACGAATGACCAAGCGGTAATATCAGGTACATAAATATGTATATAAATATATCACACGTAGAATGTTACTTAATTTCAGCTGGCATTTCATTTTTGTATCAAATGTCTTTCTGAACCTTACACGTGTTATATACAATTCTATATGTTTGTCAATATAAAACAGATGATATATTATTAAAGAATAATATGAAATTTATGTACGATTTATACATATAATTGGAGTCCATGGAGAGGACGACTAAATAACAACAATCCTGCTTAAATCGCTAACAGACGTTTTAACAAATATAGAAAATGTTCGAAAATTTAAAAAAGCGGACAAACAGGAAACGTTTAAATGAAATCTACACAAAAATATAACTATAATGTTGAAAGGTAACATTATACAAGTGTTGTTCCTATGGTATAAACATGGGCATTGCCACGTTTGTCCTGTATTGCCATTGTTTGTCCTCTTTTAATAACATATATGTGCATCAATGGGTGCATGGATTGAGGTACATTTGAACATTTCATATTGATTGCCAAAATTTAAAGACCAGGGTGAATGCAGAAGGACAAATTATATTTGTTTCAAAGAAACAAAATGGCGGATACGAAACTAACGCGGATGCCAACAAACACAATGCTGCCATGATTAAACTAAATATTGTAAACAAAAATGTTACATAAACTAGATTATTTAAAATATTTGTAAGTTGGAATGAGGTAAAATATATTTGGATATACACCCATACCATAAACAATGTATGTGATGTATATGCAATTGTAAGGCTAATAATAGTGACGATCAATAACGTCATCACTCCTCTTGTTATGAAAGCATTCAAAACAATGAATTGATCAATGTTGGTGTAGAGTGTTATAAAATTGATTCATGAACGAGGATGTACATAATTAAAAGGCATATTGCCAATGGGTGGCCTAATTTGATTAAAGAGTTTACCTCTACTAATGAGTTACCCGATGACTATTTTTCGATTTTGTACCTTTTTCCAGTATCTTTGATAATGGTTTTATTAATTACATCAATACTTACCTGAAATTATAATTATTTTAGTGCATTGAATCCGTATAGAAATGCGTTGTCCAAACATGAAAGCGCCTGGTGCTAAAAATAGATCACCTCGCGCGATGCATTCTGGGACGTGGTATAAAACGCAACTCTCCCGCCGACACCTTCACAGTCAATGGTGGACAGTGGTACAGAGAACTTCTTCAATTGACAAAAGTAGAAATACAGGAATGCTTACCGTGGAGCCTGGGATTTGGGCCTCCATTTTCAACCAGTCGGATCTAGATCTGACAACTTACATCAATCCACAGCCTGACTGCGAGGTACGTATTTCCAATTATTCCATGAAAAATTCACTTTTCTTCAATCTGTTGTTTTCACTCCCAAGCGCGGAGCCACAGACTCGAATTTCGCGACAACTGTTCTGAGACGCGCTCTTAACATATATATCGTATATATTAACGGAAAGTGTAGCGAAATGCGACAACTGTTATTTCAGCAAAGCTTTGATTCTCAACAAGCTCAGAAAAACCAACTTTGTGAGCCTCGTACTACAAGACTCGTCAGTAACTCTTTGCTCGTCTCGAACCGCAGCTCGCCGTAAAAGTTTCTCGGATACGGGGCCTCTGATTTTATACTCATACTGTCCGATCAGTGACGTCACACTGAGCTTACGACCAATCATAGCACGACGCTGTGATCACATGGCCATGTTAAGAGCCGACACGCGGTCTCTATAGTCACGTGGTACAGAATCACGAGTGATATTACCGTTTCACGTAAAAGGACTGTTTAGGGGTAATTTGCATATTTATTTGGCAAGAAGCCAAGTCTGGTTTTCTGGCAGATTTCTGTTTCCATGAGTGACACAAGCTCTGTTGGATTGCTAATAAATGCCAGCATCGTGCAGTCGGTGGAATAAGATGTTATCAAATCAAGTATGGATTATTATATCCTGTTTATTAATCATATTCATACACACTTATAACATTCGAGTTACAAACTGTTTTGGTTTTTTTAAAACTCGACCCCCTTTTCTAAATAAGCCCGTACTTTTCATGATAATTGTTATCGTCAGTATTTTTCTTTCTTATGTTGCGGTCATCGTATTGTTTTTAATTGTTCTTCGGTGTGAATAGATCTGTTCTTTATACATAAATGTTATTTATTCCGCATATTACTCTTGATTATACAACATTTTTTTCCATTTCCAGAACGCCTTGTTTCCGAAGACTCTGATCGATGAACCATACCAGGACCTCTCGGTCGACGCAGTCGATGATCTGCTTCGATCTCTGGCAGGGGACAGCGCCACGACCCCGCCCCCGAGTGAAAGCGATGTTCTCTTGCCAGAGGAACCAACGACCTTAATCCCAACCCCCGTGTTTGATTCCACCCCTCCATCCACCCCGAAGCCGCAGGATGAGCTTGATAGGGAGGAAATCCTTGTTCCTCGTCACAAGAGACCCGCCCATAAACGGGCGGAGGTGAAGCGTCGTGGAAAGATAAAGGTATTTGTCTTGATCAGAGGGAGATTTTTAGGTGGGGACCTCAGATTTTATGTTAAAAACTTCGTTTACTGGACCTGCTTATCATTATGATATCCTGAACAAAAAATACCAAGAAAAATATTTGATCTGTTATATATTTATAACTGACTGTACATTTACATCATATTTGCATATTGTTTCCGCCTGTGGCTGCGGTTTGTTTGTTTGTTTGTTTGTTTGTCTGTTTGTTGTTTAACGCCGCACTCCGCAATATTCCAGCTATATAGTCTGAATATAATCGAGTCTGGACCAGACAATCCAGTGATTGACTGTGGCTGCAGTAACCGTAGATCTGTGTTGCAGCCTGTAAACAATTTTAATATTGACTTGTGAGACGCTCTTTGGTTTTAATGTTGATGTTTATGAGGCTACACAGTGCAACATGTCAATATCAAAATCGTTTATAGGGAGCAGCAGTTACCCAAGCAACATCTGCCGGCATTTATTCAATTCATTAAATAAATCTGCGCGTATGTTTGCGGTTATGATATAATTATTATTTCATTATTGGGAGCCATAAGGAACTTCTGCAAACATGAAAAATTTCAACGATGTATTACTTTTGTGGTGATGGCCGAATATATTCCCACATATGAAAAGGAAAGCATTTCTGATGGTGTTGGAGAAAGAAGGTGGTAAGAGTTGTCTCCCTTGTTTATCATCTCGACATGTTTTTATTTTCATAGACCAACTTAGATGACCTCCGCGACCTTCTCCCGCCAATCCACAACCAGCGGAAAAGCGAGTCCCTAATTTTATCAAGAGGTGAGAACAGTTTCATCTTCCCTCGTAATCCCCTAACCTAACGTATAATGTGTATCCTACTGGCAGACTAGGGCAATTTATACTGAAGACAAGTATAGTTAGCGAGTCTATTCGGTTGAGTATTCTGACTCCTCTCCCACTCTTGTAGCGACCGACCATTGTCGCCAGTTGAAGGCCGAGAGAGCTCGTGTCGAGGAGGAGAAGTCGAAACTTCGGGCTGAGATAGCCGCCTTGACCGCAGAGATAGAGTAAGTGTCCTCGTGCATGTCGGTAACCATGACTATCTGTTTCAGAGCCCAGTCTCTAGACTGGTTACTTGCTTTTGACGCGACTATATGGATGCGCTCTATATAGTCAAAGGCAGGTAGCCGTGTCTATCGAGCACGACCAAGGTAGGTGATTCATTGAAACAGAAGTTGGGTTTGTGGTGACAGTTTAATAGGGACCTAATTGAGTATTTGAAAATATTTGTTTAACTCTGTCGTTACATACATTTCATAGATTTTTACCGAAATGTTATAATGGCAATTTGCATGAATTAAGATATCTAAGTGGTTTCGTAAATACATGTAACTTTCTTCTGATGTACGTCGGTGTTTTAGCGCGAAAGCATTTGACGTCAACTTTTACATGAGTGTGATGTTCTGGTGTTCTGTGTTACAGCTCGTTCCAGAAGGATCTCCCAGCGATGGGCCTGAAGGCTGACGGCGGTGTCGTCAAGACCAAGTCAATGGATAACATGTATAAAGAATACGTTGAGGATCGCACGAGGGGAAACTGGAAATTCTGGATCGTATCCTTTACGAAAGAAATACACTTAAAATTGATGATTTTTAGACTTAAATTCAGGCTTCAAATTATTTTATCATTTATCGACTAATTTCTTCATTTAACTATTCTAAACTATACACTGTGCTTTTATTTATTAACCGGTTCTAGAAAAATAAGGTATTTTGTCAATTGTGAAAAGATAACATTGGTTTTGAATCGCTTTTGTAAACTAGAAAATGAGATTTCGTGGGATTTGTTTCCTTAACCCGACTTAGTTCAGCTTCATGATGAGACCTTTATTTGAGACCTACACAACGGGAGTCTCTACCTCAACCTTACAGTCCTTCATGTCCTCCGTCAGTCAGTGGACGGAGGATACCCTGGGACTCGCCAATCTCAGATCTGGTAGGTATTTTCACATGACGTTGTCGTGTTGTATTCTCACTTTTGTCAAATGTCAAGTTCCCTTTTTCAAGTCACCGTCCGATGCTAAATGTTTCTGGTTATTGTTCGCATGTACGTTCGGTTCCGGTTTCGTATTTTATGACATATTATCTATACCAAAGTTTTACTTTTGATGTAACCCGATATGTCGAAAAGCAATGGCATTCGTGATTTATTGCCTGGGGCACTTAAACATACTCTCTACTTGTTTACAGTGTTTTCATTAAGAACAATTGTCAATTTAGTTTGGAGTGGTTAGGAAATAAATATTAAATTAAAACTCGACCTACTTATCCATTGCTTTTTAAGAATATTTTTTATCGGTATGTCTTGGTAATTGAAGGAAATTGTCTTGCTTTGTTATGCATTGTGATCCTATTTCAAAGTCATCCTTCATATCAGACGAACAAACGTGAACGATGGAAATCTAAAATGTTCAGCTGTTATTATCCAGATTTACTGTTTTCAATGTAATGCATATATGTACATTTGTTTTCAGTGATAACGCGCGGTGTTCTGCGTATCAGCAAGGAAACCAGTATACTTACAAAACCGGAAACGCTACAACAGGAAGCTGCCCAGTCAACAGAAAGCTCAGTTTCATAGTATCGTCTTTCCTCGGGGTACTTCTCGAGAACTGTAAATACTATTTTATGAATATGTAAATGGTTTCGTAAAAGACTTCGAGAGGCAGCAAATACTCAAGTCGTGTTCTCATCTCATCACCCACCATTCCCACATATAGAATCACAGACCTGCATTTAACAACCGAGACTTGCCACAATTGTCGATGTTTGTCACATGACGTTATGTTTTCTGTATTTTAAGCCCTTGAACATATTTAAAAGAAATTCTCATCACCTTTCCGGTGAAGCAGTTTAAATGATTGATGTTTTCCTGGGCGATCAATGTCTTGTCACCATGTCTGGTAAAAACAATCCGGTTTTAGTGTTATTTCTACGAATTAATTGGTTGTCCGGATTTTATCTTTTCATTTCAAAAGGAAGAATGTTAAGTGAGCTTTCCATGAGACATGTTATTTCTTTTTCAAGGGCCAAACATTTTGAGGGTAAACTTCCATTTCAAGTCAAATTTGCAAATTCTCAAATGAAATCGGTAAATGTCGAGGTTTGGAGACGTCTTTGAGGCATGTGTATGCGCGTAATATCAATAATATATGTTTGTTCAATTTGAAATGTAAATATTCATGTCTCGTGGATTTTCAGAGCAAAAAGGCTGTTTTTCGTCATTAATCCCGAGTGAATATTCTTTCTATTTAAGTTTGTTTTTTTTTAAATATTTTGTTTTTGTATTTTGACAGCTTGGACAGTAACCAGTAAAACTTCGCGGTATTCGTATATTTTCAAGGAACATTTTTAATATAGACCTTGTTTACGTATTTGTTACATCGACTTCTATGACAATAAAGAATATTTTTTATTAATGTTATTCCATTGGATCCTTAATGAACTACCTGTACTGTTCTCAAGGAAGTATCTTGTATAATGTGATGCTAGACATTCGAATACTGCTCAGTTTGGATGGTTTAGCAACAATGTGTCTGTGTATATTTGTCAGCAACGTTGTGACAAGTGACAAGCATAACTACTGTCAGCTGATGTACAGTGTTGATGTGTATTGCTAGTCCGTTTGTCTGAATAAAGACAAGTATTCAAATAAACAAAATACTTTTCGTTTTTCGTTTTCTTCCCAAAGTCGTTTAAGCCTATGCTGCAGCATTAGAAATTTATGTTAGACGGTGGCTGGTAAAATGTTTATGGGGCAGCGGAACAACCAATGCCCATGTTAAGAATACCCGTGAAGATTACGGGGTAGAATAGGTCTTCAGCAACCCATGCTTGCCATAAAAGGTGACTATGCTTGTCGTAAAAGGCGACTAACGGGATCGGGTGGTCAGGCTCGTTGACTTGGTTAATGCATGTCATCGATCCCAATTGCGTGGATCGATGCTCATGATATTAATCACTGGATTGTCTGGTCCAGACTTGATTATTTACAGACCGCCGTCATATAGCTGGAATATTGCTGAGTGCGGCGTTAAACAACAAACCAACCAACCAACCAACCCATGTTAAGAAACTGGGTCAGACTGGTTCGAGTAGACGGTACGATTTTACGCCGCTTTTAGCAATTTTCAGCAATATCACGGCGAGGGACACCAGAAATGGGCTTCACACATTGTACCCAGGTGGGAAATCGAACCCGGGTCTTCGGAGTGACAAGCGAACGCTTTAACATGGCTAACCCATCCTCCATGGTCCCAGTATACCCCACGCTTGTGGCGATATATGGCATGGCTAATTGCACATGTCATCGTACTCAAGTGACAAGACCGTGACAGAGGTCTGTGGACAGAGCGTCTGCCGTGGTTCGATCCCCTGCTGCGTTAAGTGGTGGTACTTGTTGTTACCCTGCCTGGCGTTGGGCATTTAGGGACTAAAACAAGGACTGGTCGGCTCTGAGTCAGTATATTGTGTCCGAGTGGGGTATCCATGTTAAACTACGGCATGGTATCTCAGTAGGCTTGTACAAGCAGCCACACACACGCATGCGCATGGATGCACGTCACTATACTCTATATAAGAGCAATAATAAAGGCCCCCTCCCCTCACCCACCCAGGTATTGTTTGTTGGTTGGTTGTTTAACGCCGCATTCAGCAATATTCCAGCTTTATGACGGCGGTCTGTAAATATTTGAGTCTGGACCAGATAATCAAGTGATTGACATCATGAGCATCGATCCATGTAATTGGGTTCGATGACATGCATCAACCAAGTCAGCGAGTCTGACCACCCGATCCCGTTTGTCGCCTCTTACGTCAAGCATAGTCGACTTTTACGGCAAGCATGGGTTGCTGTAGACTTGTTCTACCCCGGATCTTCACGGGTCCTGCTCACTTCGCCTCCTCTTGAGTCAAAGTATTTGACTGGAAAAAAAGCATGACAACAAAAACAGATTCAGTCGCCTTCTGTTTTGACCACAAAACGTTAATTTATTTCCAATCATTTCCCTGCGGAATCAAAAGGGAACACGGTAACAAACAATGCAACTTCGTTTTTCCAGAAACGCCATCTTTCGGTTGATAACTGTACGGTACATGTTCGTTGGCTGGTTGGTTGGTTTCTTGTTTAAACGCCGCACTCAGCAATATTCCAACTATATGACGGCGGTCTGTAAATAATCGAGTCTGGACCAGACAATCCAGTGATTAGTATCATGAGCATCGATCCACGCAATTGGGATCGATGACATGCATCAAACCAAGTCAGCTAGCCTGACCATCTGATCCCGTTAGTCGCCTCTTACGACAAGCATATTTGCCTTTTATGGAAGCCAGAACACGATAACCTTGCGCCCCCTCGCCCCCCTCGCATATGTTTTCTCTTACTGGTGAGTGAACGGGTGCGTTTCTGCGTACCCGTCCCAGGGACCATAAACATATGACTGACATTCGCAACTATTGGAGGACCATCAAACTATTGGAAGGTGAACATTAGTTGAAAATTATTGGAGTAATTCAGTACTATATACAGACTATTGGGGGATTCCATAGTGACTGCAAATGAGTCAGTTGTAACTAACTAACTAACTGTGTCTTAACTTCATCTTGTATCGGAAGAAGTATTATAAGAAACTATGGCTCCTCTCTCTCTCTCTCTCTCTCTCTCTCTCTCTCTCTCTCTCTGAAAATTATATTTTACATTTAATCCGTTCATGTGCGGGTATATTTGTATTTCTTCAGCATGTTTTATCTGGAATTTCTTTTTAAATACGGTTATCGAAGCATTGATGCTTAAACAATTCAGGTGCTAAGGTTCTTTAAATGTTGGTCATTTCCCGAAGGCGAAGCTTTAATGGATCGTGCAGAAACCCTATAAGATTTCCACTAAAGCATGTCACTGAAAGTATGGAGTTGAACTTTCCAATAAACCGCAAACATAGACTATTAATGCCCTCATCGAGCGTTATGGAAGTAGTTTTAGGATTTAAATTTGATTTATGATTTTCGATTCAGTTGCGTCGTCCACGTGCATGTTCTGTCAATGTTGTCACATAAACCACTGTCGTCGCGACAGATCCAAGACCGGTCGACTAAAAAAGGTTTATCAGACAGACAGATTTATTCGATAATGTGGGCCATATGGCCTATATTACAATGTCAGTACAATATAAATTTAGTCACGATTTTCTAAATTTAAATATCTAAGTCAGTTTTATTACATCGACATTTTTGCAGTTGAGAATATTTGGAAGTGACAGGTAACCGTCATACGTATCCTGTAGTTGAGTAATATAATGTTTCCGTAAAGTCTTGTAATAATCACAAGTGAAAAAGACATGTTCTTCCTTTTCAATACAACCCTTGTTACAATATCTACATACGCTATTTTCATTATCTGAGGGTTTTTGACGTAGAAACTGAACATTAAAATGATGTAAGCTAATCCTAAATTTACAAAAGGTTCTTCTGAGAGATTTATCCTGCAAAGAATCAATATATTTTTCTACATTCAGCAAAGATTTAACATTTGTATAATGAGATAAATATTTGGAAGCAGACAATTTTGCAAACCAATTTTGAGAGGCAACATCTTTTAGTCTTTCCTGAAATTGATACAAAAAAATATTTACATCACCAACATTTTGGTAGTCCCAGACATGAAAAACCATTAACAAATAAACAATTTTTAAAATCTGTCACCCAACTGTGCTTACCTTTCCCATCTAGCTTTTTAAGGAAGTAATAACATTGTACAGGATATCTATTTGATCCCATGTGCAATAATTTTAGCCAATATTTTATAGCTCTGATCTGACTCTGGACAAACATATAGTGGCGGCCAGTTTCCCATAAGATAGCTGTGTTTGAGGCATATTTACCTACACCAAGAAAATATTTAAAATATGAAGTTTGAACTTTCTCTATACATGCAAAATACCTTAGCCCCCAAATTTCTGCACCATATAAAAGTATAGGACTTATAGACCGACAGCCCAGAGCACTTTGGTCAAACGAACAAGGTACCAATATCCGAACACAGGAACATTTACTGTGTAACCCAACATATTCATATATGGATGTCTGCCGAGGAGCCCCTGCTGCGTGTGGCCCCTGGCCCCAAAAAGAAGGAGCCATTCAAGGACTGGATCAAACATTGGAGGTACCACATGAAAGTAAGTGTAAATGAACTGGTTCATCTCACAGAGTACAGAATGGGCCACGCCAGACAAATCTTCCTCTGCATAAGGCCTGCCAGACACCCCCACATGTTGACCCTTAATGCACTCAGTGGACACTCTGGTAAAATTTGACTAGAGTATACATTCAAAGTACCAGATGAAAGTAAGTTTAGATGAACAGGTACATGTTACTGAGTACAACACGGCCCATACCTGACAGATTTTCCTCCGCATAAGGCCCGCCAGACCCCCCAGAGAGGGTCCCAAAATTTGGGCTGGGTTAAACATTGGAGGTACCACATGAAACCAACATAAAATGAACAATTGCACTCTACTTATTGCACAACACCCATTGCCAGACAAATCATCTTCTGCATAAGGCCCGCCAGACACCCACAAAAAGTTGACCCTTCAGGTATACACGGGTAAAATTGGTCTGGAATATATATCGATTGTACCACATTAAGGTACGTTTGAATGAACAGGTTCATATCACAGAGTACAGAATGGGCCACACCAGACAAATCTTCCTCTGCATAAGGCTTAAACATTGAAGGTATCACATGGAACCAACATAAATGAACTATTACACTCTACTACTCTATTACAAAATACCCATTGCCAGACAAATCCTCTTCTGCATAAGGCCCACCAGACTCACCCTCACCCCACCCCACACAGTTGACCTTCTGTAATCCCAGTGTGCATAATGAAACATTGGACATCAGCTCTGAGAGTCAACAGATGGTCAAATTTATGTTTTGTTCTTAAAGATGGAAGGATTTTATTGAGATTAAAATCACGTATTTATAAAATCAGGTCTCTGAATACTAGTATTGATATCATAGTTTAGGCCTATCGTTGAAATGTAATTAAAATGGCATGAATCTGAATCTTGTGAATATATATCTGATCAGCTGTGAAGTCCTCAAAGCCTGCTACAGCCTTATAGCTTGGCTATGGATTCCTACAAGCTAGATAGGCATATTATGCTATGTGCCATGATTTTTATATACTGAACAACAAAAGTTCCTGTGACATTGAATAAGATTTTATGCAAAGTTATGTTTTACCAAATCTGAAACAATTTCGGCTTGCAACAGATAAAAGACTCCTGTAAGTGTTCAAATGGTTTTAATTTGTCATACTGACTTCGTTAAATGCGTGATTTCATTTTTTTAAAAACAACATGAACATGCCAAAATGTCAATTTACAAATCAATAGCGTGTGTGTCCGCCTCTGGTTGCGATGCAAGCAACACATCTTCGTCTCATGGAATGGACCAGGCGTCGCACATAGTTCTGTGGGATATCTGTCCATATCTGCTGGAGCATGTTTCGAAGTTCCTGGAGTGTCTGTGGAACACGTGGTTGACGTCGAAGGCGCCGATCCATCTCATCCCACATGTGCTCGATTGCTGATAGATCAGGGGAACGAGCCGGCCAGGGGATGACATTCACGTTGTTTTTGTTGAAGAGATCCTGAACAA